CTGAAGCTGTAATGGCAAATTTGAGGCATAAGAGATAAAACATGCCCAGGCTCTCTGAAATAATAATATTGATAAGCTGACATTTTGTGAACCTTTACTGTTTGTTAGGCACTGATTCAAGCACTTTATGTGTATTAACCTAGTTATTCATAACAGTTCTGTGAAGTGGATGCTTGTGTTATCACAGTTTTACATGCCTGGAAACTGAAGTGTAAATAATTATGGCATTTACAGAGGCTCTCAGAGATAGTAGGTGACAGAGCAGAATTTCAGTTCTATCAGCCTGGACTCTTTCAACTTTTTTGAAACAACTTTATATTTTGCTTTTTTTTTTAAGACAGGGTCTCGCTCTGTTATCCAGGCTAGAGTGGAGTGCAGTGGTGTGATCACTGCTCAGTGCAGCCTCAACCTCCTGGGCTCAAGTGACCCTCCCACCTCAGCCTCCCAAGTAACTGCCACGCCTGCCTTTTTTTTTTTTTTTTTTTGTACAGGCGGGCATCTCCCTATGTTGCCCAGGCTGGTCTTGAACTGCTGGGCTCAAGCAATCCTCCCTCCTTGGCCTCCCAAAGTGCTGGGACTATAGGCATGAGCCACCCAGCCAAAACAAGTTTATATGTTGTTGCAAGTTTGCTGACCAGGCAGCTCATGCCTGCCCTCCCAGTAGGACCGAGCTGATTGGCACTAAAACATGGACCAATACCAGGCTTTTAAGGTAGCTGAGTAAAGGGTTGGTGGACCCTAGGGGACCGTGTCTGCCTTTCTCCTTGTGGTCCCCAGGAGGCCAGTGTGGCATGGACCTCTGTGAGATGATATGTGGTTGCAGTTTTTAGGTGAGAAAGGGACTTAACTCACTTATGGTCTCACAGCTAGTAAGTGGCACAAGAGGAACTCGAACTTAGCTCTCTTGGTTGCTAGTTTATTGAGCTTCACCTCAAGATATATAAAGTTCAAGACAAAGTTTCATTTTTTAATAGTTCTTGGCCAGGTGTGGTGGCTCACGCCTGTAATCCCAGCACTTTGAGAGGCCGAGGTAGGTGGATCACCTGAGGTCAGGAGTTCGAGACCAGCCTGTCCAACATGGTGAAACCCCATCTCTTTTTTTTTTTTTTTTTTTTTTTTGAGATGGAGTCTTGTTCTGTCGCCCAGGCTGGAGTGCAGTGGCACGATCTCGGCTCACTGCAAGCTCCGCCCCCCAGGTTCACACCATTCTCCTGCCTCAGCCTCCTGAGCAGCTGGGACTACAGGCACCCACCACCATGCCTGGCTAATTTTTTGTATTTTTTTAGTAGAGATGGGGTTTCACTGTGTTAGCCAGGATGGTATCGATCTCCTGACCTCGTGATCCACGCGCCTTGGCCTCCCAAAGTGCTGGGATTACAGGCATGAGCCACCTCGCCCAGCCGCCCCATCTCTACTAAAAATACAAAAGATTAGCTGGGTGTGGTGGGGCACGCCTGTAGTCCCAGCTACTCAGGAGGCTGAGGCAGGAGGATTGCTTGAACCTGGAAGGTAGAGGTTGCAATGAGCTGAGATCGTGCGATTGCACTCCAGCCTGGGCGACGTGAGACCCTGTCTCAAAAAAAAAATTTTTTTTAAGTTCTATTTTATCTCTACTCTTGGTTTATTATAGTATCTTTTTTTTTTTTTTTTAATGTAGTTGTTGCCTTAGGGTTAACAAAATACACCTTTAAGTCATCGCAGTCTGCCTTCAGGTGATGCTACACTGCTTCCTAGGCAGTGGAAGAGCTACTCATCTTTTGTGCTCATTTTCATTCATTTCCCTTTTACATATGCTCTAAGCCTACAATACATTGCTACTATTTTTGCTTTAGAAAATAAACAATAATGCTTTAGAAAAATTGAACATAAAAAGAATGTCTGTTATATTTACCATAACTTTAACCATTTCTGGGGAACTCAATTTCTTTATGTAGATCCAAGTTTTATCTGGCCTCATATTCATTCTACCTAAAAAATTACCTTTAACATTTCTTGTAACTCAGATCTGCTGGTAATGAATCCCCTCAGTTTTTGTTTGCCTGGAAAAAACAAACAAACAAACCTTTTCTTTCCCTGAAATTTTTAGAGGTATTTTCACTGAGTATAGAATCCTGAGTTGACTATTTTATTCCTTCAGCACTTTAAAGATGTTGTCAGATATGTGTGATTTCTAATGAGAAGTCTGCTGTAATTCTTAACTTTGTCTTTCTGTATCTGATGAATCTTTCTCTGACTGCCTTCAACATTTTGTATCTTTGGGTTTCAGCAGTTTCAAAATGGCCCACCTAGGTGTGATTCTTTTTTTTTTTTTTTTGTAATGTGTGTGGGGGTGTTTTCCCTTGCTTGGTGTTTTCTGAGAATCTTGGTGATTTGATGTCTTATATTATTTTTGGAAAATTCTTAGTTATTATGTCTTTAAATATTTCTACTGTCCTGTTTCTCCCTCATCTCTTTTTGTGACTCCAGTTAGCGTGTTGGATCATTTGGATGCTCTATTCTGATTCCTCCTGCCCACTGTTATTCTCTGGGTTTGGATTACAGATGCTCCTCAATTTACAATGGGGTTATTTCCTGATAAAACGAACATAAGTTGAAATTAAGTCAGAAATGCATTTAATATACCTGACCTACCAACATCATAGTTTAGTCCAGCCTCATCACAACATGCTCAGAACACTTGCGTTAGCCTACAGTTGGGCAAAATTATGTAACACGGAGGTCCCCAACCCCCAGGTCACAGACTGGTACCTGTCCGTGGCCGGTTAGGAACTGGGCCGCACAGCAGGAGGTGAGCAGCAGGCAGGCGAGCACTACCACCTGAACCCTGGCTCCTGTCCGATCAGTGGCAGGCGTTCCATAGATTCTCATAGGAGCATGAACCCTATTGTGAACTGCACATGTGGAGGGATCTAGGTTGTGTGCTCCTCGCAAGAATCTAATGCCAGAGAATAGTTTTATCCTGAAACTATCCCCCTCCAACCCCCGTGGTCTGTGGAAAATTGTCTTCCAAAAATTGTCTTCCTGGTGCCAAAAAGGTTGGGGACTGCTGTTATAGCACAAAGCCTATTTCATGATAAAGTGTTGAATATCTCATGCAATAGTATTGTACTGCATATCACTAGCTTGGGAAAAGATCAAAATTCAAAATTTGAAGTGTAGTTTCTACTGAATGCATATCACTTTTGCACCATTGTAAAGTCAAAAAAATTTTAAGTTGAACCATTGTAAGTTGAAGATTGTCGGTATTTCTAGTGACCTGTTTTCAAGTTTTGATTTCCTTTTCCTCCTCAGCTGTGTCAGGTTGGCTGCAGTGTCTGGGAAAGGCACTCTTCATCTCTGTTACTGTATTTTTTATTTCTAGCCTTTGCATTTGACTCTTGCTTTTTTTAATCTCATTGCTGAAATTTCCTGTCTATTCGTGCATGTTGTTCAGCTTTTCCAGTACAGCCTTTGACATACTAATCATATTTATGAATCATATTAATCTTAGTTATTTTAAATTCCCTGACATGTAGTTCCAATATCTGGGTTATCTGTGAGTCTGGCTCTGCTGATTGATTTGTCTCTTGACGATTTACTTTTTTGTTTCTTTCTGTATGTGTCTTGTAATTTTTACATTGAATACCAGATATCATGTATAGGACAGAAGAGACTGAAATAAGTAATATGTATGCCTGGAATAGGCTTCCATCTTTTGTTTCTAGGCTTTTAGTAAGGAAAGTTGAGTTAGGCTAGTCAGAAATTGAGCTGGCTTGGGTTTTGTTGTTACTATGGTTCTGTGCCCCAGTGGTGCAATCATAGCTCACTGCAGCCTCGACCTCCCAAGCTCAAATTCCTCTCATGTTACCTTGTGCTTAGTAGGGGAGCTTGTTTGCCACAAGGTTTTTCCCCACATTCCAGTTCCGCCTTCAGCCTTAGGCCTTTGTGTGTACATCAGGGAGGGTACTCCTCCATGCTCTTGCCTCCTCCCTGCAGTAGACTGCCTTGCTTGTTACTCAGTGCATGCCAGCCTAGGGTTGGGGACATGGGGTAGTTCTCTGTTATCTTGGTCCCAGCCTCAGACTTAGGTGGACTCTGTGTCCCTGCATCTCAGGAGTGGTGCTTTCTCTGTGATTCTGCCCCTCCTTCAGTGGTGGGAGACCTCTAATGTTTGGACTCTAGATGATTTCCTGCCCCTCCCTTAGAATAGAAGGTTTTTCCTTTTCCCTTCCCCAGCTGCAGTGGGTCTTCACCTGTACCCTGGAGGCAACAAGGTTTCCTCCCCTGCCTCCATGCCTGAAGGCTTCGGTTCCTCCAGGCAGGCTTTGTACCTTTTCCATAGCAGCAACCACTCACTCCTCCCCTCCAGGTCTGCACTACTCCCAGGAAGGTTTCCTCAACTTCCTTCCTTGCCCCTCCCCTATTCTTTCTCATGAGCACCTGTGAAGGTCTGAAGACAGCAGCTAGTGACTGAGTACAAACTCCTTTTACATCTGTGGCTCCCAGAGATCTAGAGTTCTTCCAGATCACACCTGGCTTTTACTAACAGGTTAAAAATGTTTCCTGAATTTTTTCCCACTTCATTTATTTCTGTTATATTTATATGGTAGAAAAACTACATAATAATGGCTACTGTGCATCTCTTCCTAACTCCACATTTGACAACAGCACGTTGGTAACTTGAAAATTGCCATGGTGGGAATATTTACACTCCAGAAATCAGTAAGTGCTATTAATCAGGGCTTTCTTTTTCCCTGAGAGCCAGTTGTTAAATATTTACCAGAATACCACTGTTTGGGGGAACACCAGGAGGGCTGACCATGGAGATTGGTGCCTTTGGTGAGTCTCTCCGTGGCCTCTGGGATGGGTTGGGCCCAGCAGTGTTGAATGGCTGTGTTCAGGCCATCTCCTGCAAGGCAGTCCCCAGGCCACTGGCAGGGAGACTCACCATAGGGAGGCCCCCTGTGTTGGAGGTGGTGTAGGTTAATGCTCTCGCCCTGTCTTCCTCCTTCTCCCCTTAGACCGAAGCCAGGACAGCACAGCTGTAGCACTCTCAGACTCCAGCTCGACGCAGGACTTCTTTAATGAGCCCACCAGCTTACTGGAGGGCTCCAGGAAAGCCTACACAGAGAAGAGGCTGCCGATTCTCAGTTCCCAAGCAGGAGGGACGGGTAAAGACCTTCAGGGGGCCACAGAAGAAAGAGGTATGAAGCTCTAACTCGGTAAATTAGAACCACTTTGATGTCCTGTGGCAATCTGGGCAGAGCTGAAGGCTTTATGGCCCAGGGACCTTGGCTGGGCAAGTCGCTTACTCTCTGGGCCTCCGTTTTTCTCCCTGTAGGATGGGAATGGTCGCAGTGCCCTCCCTGGGGTTGTGAGGGTTGAGGGAGGCAGCTCCTGAGGGTGCGCACAGAGCCCAGCACCACATGTGCTCAGGGATGCTTCTTCTTGTTGTTATGACCCTCACAGCCCAGCCCAGGAAAGCTGTCTGTGTCTGTGACATCAGTGTGCTCTGTTTTTTTTTCTTGGTTAATGGTTATTTTAAGTCTTTGGATCCTAAATGTCACAAATGTGTTTTCTTTTTAGTCTGAATCATATGAGGTCTTCAGGAAAAATCTCCCTTTTTTGGGGGTGGGGGGCAGAGGGCCCTGATTTAAGCCTGGGGGTATGCCCAGCTCTCCTGGGGGGTCTAGGCCGCGTTTGTAGAAATCAGTTGGCAGAGCCCCACATCTGGGCTTACTGGGAGATCACAGGCAGGCTGGGGCTTTCCTGGCCCCACTCTGAGCTGTGGCTGGTCAGCTGTGGATTTGAGAGCTTTCCCACTCTGGCCAGGGCCAGGACTTACAGGTGTTTCTCAAACAGTAATAACAACAACCCAGTCCTGTACTCTTTTCTGTGCTGGGCACTGTGTTAATTCATTTGGTTCTCCCAAGCACCCTAGAGAAAAAGCATAATGACTATTCCCATTTTATAGCTGAAGAATCTGAGATTCAGAGAAGGTCTGGAATTTGCCCTCTCAGTCTACACCCTTAACCATTACCCCATGCTGCTTCTCCAGGTGGGATGGATGGATGGGGAAAAACATTGGTGATAAACTGCCTCCCTGAGGGACCCAGGCCTTGTCCCAGCAAGTCTCAGAGCAAGCCCTGGATGGGAGCTCACACATAGGTGTGGCGTGGAGCCAGAGCCGTTTACACTAAGGAAGATCTCTCCCAGCTCTCTGCTCCCTGCCAGCCTCCCCTGGCTGGACTTAAAAGGGCATGAGACCACGTCCCCAGTAGGTTGGAAGTATCCGCATTAGGGGACACCTGGTAGAGACACTAGATAAGAGGGCACAGAATGGAGGACTTACCATGTGGATTTACTTGTATCTGGTGCTCATAGAGAGATGAGGCCACCACCCCACTCTCTCACCAGGCAGTCACTATGCTGTCGCCAGCCAGCGTTGACATTCTGTAACTGACATAAACACACTGTAGGAAGTTTGAAATGGGAAGGAAAAAGGTAACTTACACTCTTAACACTCTAATACAGCATTTCTGGTCTTAAAAATAAGATTTTTAAATTTATTAGACAAGTAAGACCACCATGTGTGCTCTGTGGCCTGTCAAGCCGTGACTGCTGTGGATGCTATTGTGTCATCATGAACTTCTCTCCCACTTACATGAGGAAGGGGACATGGGTGTTGGGGGAACGAAGCAGAGAGTGAGTTGGCTTTGGTCTGGCACAGCCTATACAGGCCCTTCTAGACTCATGAAGAGCGTCCTGCCTCTTCCCTCCTTCCATTAGAGCCAGTGGGGTTGGCCATTGGTGAAGAAGGTTAGGGTAGGACCAAAGGTCACCACAATAGCTGATAAGCATGAAATGAAACCTCTTGCTTCCATGGCCATGTTCCTCCTCTCTAAGTCCATCTTTTCTTGGTAACCATGGTGGTGAAGTTGATCAACTTCCTGCTGGGAGAGCAGGTATGGCAGGGAATGCTTCTCATGCCCACTGCCAGCACACAGTTCTGGGAGCAGAGCACTCCTCCAGGCCTGGTCTTGGTGAGTGGTGGTCTCTAACACGCACTCCTCTGGACTGCCATTGGGTAGTAGCCTGGCCATCACAGTCTGCAGTGCTTGAGCAGCCTTTGGCCTCTCTGCAGAAAGCCAGGACAGCAGTGCCTAGGCAGTGTTCGGTGCAGGCCCCAGTGTGCTCCACACCCCTTGCCTTCCCAGCACGCCCTCATGGAGAGTCCTATCACCAGCCTGCTGCTTCCTCCGTCATTAATGTTACGGGGTACAGGCCCTCGCTCATACGTTTTGTATTTGTTATCAAGCAGCGGGGCACAACAGGTCTAGATCTGTACCACGCACTGGGTACCAAGGGAAAGCAGAAACAGATCTGACAGCCACATCCTGCCTGGCACTGAGATGCGCTCCCTCCCACCATGTCTAGCAGGCACAAGCTGTCACACTGCCCAAGGACCAGCCTCCTTCCTTTAATTCTCCAGAAGCTGTCTTTCTCCACTCTGGCCTTGACCGAGGTGCCTTGAGGAAAGAGCCTTTCCCAGAAGTGACTGTTGCAGCTAGCTGAAGCTCACCTTTGCGGGGGGCAGAGCTTCAAAAAAAAAAAAAGTCTAAAATACGAAGGTCGCAAGAGTAAAGACTTACTTATTTAATCTAGAAGAAAGTTGTCCACAGTTTCATCACTTAAACACAAGCTCACTCTTCTATATCATTCTGAGGGCAAGAGGGTAAAACCCAAAGCAGAGTTGACGACCACCTGTTGTGATCCAGGCAGTGGACACAAGGGCATGCCAGACTGGCCACATCTGCCCCTTCCTGGTCAAGTAGAGGTCTAGTGACGATGCCCGTGTACCACACGCAGGATGGGATGATAAATGGTTGGGGGGGGGGCCCGCCCTGGGGGCAGTTGACCTGCCAGTGCCCAGCTTCCTGCCCATCTTGCCTGCCCGCCCTTTGTGGAGAGCACCCTCACTGGGCTTTTTTCTCAGACCAGTAGAGTTTGAGTAAGACGATCTCAGAAGTCAAAAGAGACAGACTTGAGGTCCCTGCTGGGGCATATTTCCGTCTGGGCCTCTCAGCTGTTGGTGTCTTGCCAAGATGTGTAGCCACCTGCGGGTCAGGCTCTTCCATAACCAGGCCCCCTGAGTTCACTGGGCCATCATTACACATCAGTCCAGAGGGTCAGCTGGAGGCATGTCTGTGCCTCATTCTTCTTCGGACTTCCATGGACTGATGTGGATCAGATGGCTCCTGTGCTCTGTTGGCCTTGGCGTATGCACCACAGGCATTCCAAGCCAGTCTTCCCTGCCTGCGTCAGGCACTGGCCTAGGCTGGAGCAGCCAGAACACACGTTTTACTTGCTTTCTCTTGGTAGAAGGAAGTTTTCTCATCTTCATGCAATTAGGTTACAATTGGACGTCCTGGCTTGGAAACGTGGTGTGGTCTTGTTGGCATTTCTGACCCTCTTTCTTCCAGTAAGGCAATGGAGGGCTGTAGTGATCTGTGAGGCCAGTTCAGCAGTAGGAGTGGATGCTGTGGGTAAGGCAGCTCACCCCATCTCTCCTGGGCCCCTTAGGCCACCCAGACCCCTAAGCAACTGATTTTTATTGTTGTTGTTTCTGAGACAGGGTCTCGCCCTGTTGCCCATGCTGGAATACAGTGATGCAGTCATGGCTCACTACAGCCTCAACCTCCTGAGCTTGAGATCCTCCTGCCTCAGCCTCCCGAGTAGCTGGGACTACAGGTGGCACCACACCTGCCTAATTTTTTACGTTTTTTGTAGAAATGAGGTCTTGCTCTCTTGCCCCAGGCTGGTCTCAAACTCTTGGCCTCAAGCAGTCCTCTCACCTTAGCCTTCCAAAGTACTGGGATTACAAGCGTGAGCCACCGCACTGGGTTGTTGTTCTTCGGGTTTTTTTGTTTGTTTGTTTGAGGTTAGGTTTAATAGGCAAAAGAAAGAAAAGAGAATAGCTCTCTCTCCAAGAGAGGGGCGCCCAAGCGGGTCTTCCCTGCAGCTAGGTTTCTAACTCAGTCTAGGATTGCTGTTTTCTTCTCTCTTTATGTGTTCTAAGATTTCTGGCTGAATTCTTGACCCTCTGCCTGCTTTCCATGAAAATTGTGCTCTGTGTGTCTTTGTGTCCAAGCTCTCAGTGCCTGATGTGAACCGCTGAGAGGCCTGCATCATCATCTGATTCCTCTGTCTCCCCCGTGCCTAGCACAGGGCTGATCCCAGCATTATTATGGCTTACACTGTTTGGTGAGCCACATTTTGAACACATTGGAAACCTGGCACATTTTTTAATAAAGTGATGGTATCCTCTGTAAGACGGATGCCAGCCCTAAGCTGTGGGACGCAGGCAACTTCTTGAGCTCACATGAGAAGACAGTGTAGTGTGGAAGGAGCTAGGACCTCCTGGCATTCAGTCATTAGGGCCACTTCAAAGAGTGGGGGGAGGGGCAGCCCGTGGTAGGCTCTGGGCTTGGGGGAGGGGAGATGCTCTTATGGCTTTTCTTTGCCAACACCACTGGGGGCAGCGATGCAAGGGAGGGAGAAGGGCAGTGGCTCCGGGAGAAGGAGTGATGGTGGAGAGGCAAGGACACTGAGGGAGAGCCGTGGGTTGGGCTGCAGGGGAGCAGAGAGGGAAGATCAGACTAATAGCAGGTGGCTGAGGGGAGCATAGGGAGTGAATGCTCAGATTCTTTCCTCAACGAGAATAGTGATGGTGGGCAAGCTGGCCACACACCTGATGTCTGCAGATAGGCTTCGACTTAGCATGTGGAGAACTGGGGGCCTTGGTTGTTGCCCACTCGGCCCTGCCCCAGCAGGCCCCAGCTGTCTCCAGGCCACTACTACAATAGGGAAAGGGCTCAGCCATAGCACACCACCTCAGAACTGGTGCTGCTGGCTGCTTCTCTGGCTTCCTCCAGGCAAGCTGCGCAGGGTGTGTGCCATGCTCCTGGGTGCCTAAGGAGCCACAGACCACAGGACCCCTTGCCTTTGTCCCTTGCTCCCCAGCCCTTTCCATCTGTCCCACCCTCCCCGGCCAGACAGCTTTCTTTTTCTGTAGCCAAGGAGCCTGCACCTCCGGGTATATAGCCCAAAGTCACCCAGGCTACTGTCATCATCCTGGGGCCAGCCCTGCAGCTCCACCACCCAGCCTGGGCTATCTTGATGTGAACTGCTGCCCCATGGCCCCTGGTGGAGCAAGGCTGGGTGTTCAGGAGCTGGGCTCATGCCATCTGAGGGCCCATGTGGGAGCACTTGGCTCACTCACAGCAGCAGTAACCCTGGAGAGGGATTTGGGGCAGGCAGTGGGGCAGGCAGTGGGCCGAGCACTGAGCAGGGGAGCAGGTGTGCTACTTTGTGAACCCTGGCTGTGTTTTATTTGATGATGGTGGTGGCAACACCTGCCCTTTGTGGGCTGCTTCCCCATGCCCCAGCCCCAGAGGTGGGACAGCCTGTGCCACCGTTCAGAGGGGAAGACCCAGAGCCCAGCCCATAACTCCCACTCTGTAGCTTCTGGGTCCCCCACTACATGCCAGCTGGGATAGCCTCTTTCATGGAGCAGGAGACCTCTGTTGGGGCATAGCCAGCACCGGGCCCTGTGCCTCCTGCTGCTGGGTCCAGCATCCACTCAGCAAGGGCATTGGTCCAGCCATCTGGTCACCTCACCGAGGCGCCTCCGTCGCTGGTGGTAGACCACTACATGGACAGGGCCTAAAACCAAGATGACTTTCTTTTCCTTCTTCTCAACTGTAGGAAAAAATGAGGAGCCATTGGAGAGTACAGAAGGTTTCCGGGCTGCAGAGCAAGGTGTCCAGAAGCCTGTTGCAGAACCCCCAGCCTCTGCTTGCATCCCTGGCAAGCCCTCAGCATCCATACCCACCCTGTGGGATGGGAAGAAGAGAGGGGACCTCCCAGGGGAGCCAGTGGCCTTCCCCCAGGGGCTGCCGGCTGGTGCTGAGGAGCAGCGGCAGTTTCTCACAGAGCAGTGCATTGCCTCCTTCCGCCTGTGCCTGAGTCGCTTCCCCCAGCACTATAAGAGTCTCTACCGTCTGGCCTTCCTCTACACCTACAGCAAGACCCACCGGGTGAGTGGGCTGCCAGGCCAAGGGGGCTTGGATTTTCCCAGGCAGCCGAGCATCTTTGAAGGTTGGTGGGCAGAGCCAAGACAGATTGGAGCTTCACAGTAGCAGCACATGGGAGGGATGGGCAAGAGAGCTGCAGGAGGCAGGGCCAGCCCCAGGAGTGAGCCAGCTTGCCAGGGAACCCAGTGGTGAGGGCCCAGGGTCACAGCCAGGAATGGAGGGAGGAGTGTAGTGGGCCTCACAGCCTCAGGGATAGGCTGTGGGGTGAGGGATAAGGATTTCATAAGCTCAACTACTCTTTCCTGTGAGGGCTGTGCAGCGACTCAAACTCTGATGTCGTGCTCCCTCACCCCTGCCATTCACCCATCATCTCAGCGACAGCATACCCGTCTTCCAGGTGCCCTAGAGGGGGCCCTGCTTACTCTCTGTTCCGGCCTTGCTTGCCCTAGGCCCCATCTCTCCAGCTGCATCTTGCAGGGGCCTCCTCACCATACCCTGCCCCTGGGCTCTTCTCTCTGATGCAGCTGCCGAAACCATCTTCACAGCCTCTGCTTTATGGGGGTTAGGTGCTAACAGCCTCCTCCAGCTCTTTCTGGAAAGCAGATGATATAGCGATCCTTAACAGCTGTGCCCCAGGCTTAAGTGCTTCCAGGGGCTTCCCAGCCAGACCTCTTCTGCTGGCGTTTAGATTTGGGGAGGTAATGTGACCTGGGCAGGGCCTAAATAGTAGGGGTGACTTTATTTTCCTTCAGTCTCTCCTCACTCACCCAGAAGGTGTTGGGGAGTGTCCTGGTCGTTGTCCTGCCCCATGTAGCTACATTCTAAGGGAGAAGCAGACTTAAAAACATGCAGATGGCCGGGCATGGTGGCTCACACCTGTAATCCCAGCACTTTGGGAGGCCGAGGCAGGGGGATCACCTGAGGTCAGGAGTTTGAGACCAACCTGGTGAATCCCCGTCTCTACTAAAAATACAAAAGTTAGCCAGGCGTGGTGGCACATACCTGTAGTCCCAGCTACTCGGGAGGCTGAGGCATGAGAATTGCTTGAACCCAGGAGGCAGAGGTTGCAGTGAGCCGCGACTGTGCCACTGCACTTCAGCCTGGGCGACAGAACGAGACTCCATCTCACAAATAAAAATAATAAATAATAAATAAAACATGCAGATGAGTAAAGCAAGTCTCATTTGACCAATACCACAGAGAAAACAACAGGGTGCATAGAGGGGTGAGGGTGCTGCTGTGCCTCTGTGAAGACACCTTTTATGCTGAGACCTGTATTGTAGGGAACAGCATTGGTCTGGAAGGAAGGAAGAGCACCCAGACAGAGCAAACAGCCCAGGAAGGTGGCCATTCTGGGCTGGCATTGGTGTGGGCGAGGGCCAGAGAGAGCCAGGTGTGCTGGGCAAGCAGGGGTGACCTTTAGGGTCTTGCTGTGAGGACTCTTTCAGGTCCTCCTCCTAGAGATCTCCTGCTGGTTCCCCCCAGCATCCTCTGTGGAATGTTTGAAGAACCAGAATGGACAGTTGGCCAAGAGATGGGGCCTGGCTTGGCACTGGCTATGTGCAGGAAGTGGCACTTCACAGAATTCTGCTTGGGGGACTAGATACAGGGGTCCAAGAAGGTAAGTGCTCTGTCCCCACAGTGACCACCATTCTCATGTGGCTTGGTTGATTTACTCAGGGCACAGCAGGTGACACAGGTCTGGGAGGGAGGGAGTCTCATCATCTGGGACTTTGGTCTGTAGTTCAAGGTGCAGTGCATGCTGGCAAACGATGGCCAGCTCCCTGGCTATTGGTGCCACACTGGAGCCTGGCTTGCTCACTGCTCAGCCTGCACTTGGCAGTAGACTTTACCTCTGTACCTCAGGCCTTCTGCACCCTGGTGGACCTGGATCTTAATAAACCCCAACCAGCATGTCCTCACTGCTGAAGCTGTCTTTGGGCCTGAGGGGCAGTGGCTGATATGAACTCTGTTGGGCTCACCATTGCTTTGGGAACTTTCCCCCTTCCCTCTTTTGGGAGCAGCACAGCCCACTGCAAGAGCCCACACACACATCAGTGGAACAGACACTGGTAACCATTGTCCTGTCCTCCCTCACCTCTAGTGTCCTTCTGTTCAAGTGCATCCTCAAGCAGCCATACAGCCCCCTCCAGCTGTAGTCAGCTTTGACCAGGATCTGGTGGTCCCCAGTAGTGAGCTCAGACCCTTCCTTACCTTCTCAAGAAGCAGATGCCGAGATGGAATTTTGGGTACAAAATGTTGATTAGGAATTGGCACCTGTGCAAGGGAAGTGGGGAGGGACAGCAGGTTTGGGTGGGAGGAGAGTTGAGTGGTGATACAGGCCCCACCCACCCACCCTCCACTTCCCCGCTAAATGGCTTTATGTTGAATTTGAAGGAGCCAGTGCATGTAAAGTGCTTAGCTCAGCACTAGACACAGAATGCTGTTATTGCAGCCTGCCCCTTCTCTTGATGAATTTTTTAGAAGTAGGAAACAGTATTTCTGTCAAAATCAAAAGTTGGAGGGAGGTAACCACAATTCTACCACCCTAAAACTAGCTGTCTTGGGTCTAGTACAGGTTGAATATCCTTTATACAAAATGCTTGGGACCAGAAGGGGTTTGGATTTTGGCTTTTTTCAGATCTTAGAATATTTGCATTATATTTACCTGGCTGAACCATCATGCTAAGCCAAAAATCTGAAATCCCAAATGCTCTGATGAGGCTGGGCGTGGTGGCTCACGCCTGTAATCCTAGCACTTTGGGAGACTGAGGCGGGTGGATCACCGGAGGTCAGGAGTTCAAGACCAGCCTGGCCAACATGGCGAAAACTTGTCTCTACTAAAAATACAAAAATTATCCAGGCGTGGTGGCGCACATCTGTAATCCCAGTTAATCAGGAGGTTGAGGCAGGAGAATCGCTTGAACTGGGGAGGCGGAGGTTGCCGTGAACTGAGATGGTGTCACTTCACTCCAGCCTGGGCGAAAGACCAAAACTCCCTCTCAAAAAAAACAAAACAAAAAACCAAAATGCTCCAATGAGCATTTCCTTTAAGCACCAAAGTTTCAGATTTTGGAATAATTTGGATTTTAGATATTTGGACTTAGGATGCCCTGCCTGTATTTCTTCCCAACTCCAGTACACATGCCCTGTTGATTGTGTGCTTTCAAGACCAGGCACTCCAGGCCCCAGAGGTGGGATCATGCCCCTTCTACTTTGCATCTGGGAACCTGGTCTGAGGGTCACACAGAGCTGAGTGACAGAGCCAGACATCAGCCCTGGGCAATCTCACACTGGCCCAGTTGCTGCACTGTCCCCCACACCCTGTCCACACTCATAGTTTGCCATTTTGCTCTTAACCATGAATGCCCCCTTGCCAGGTCATTTTGGTCATCTGTGATGGTCCAGGGTAGGTGGACCAGTTGACCCAGCCATCCCCACCCAGTAGCAGGGATGGAGGCTACCTTGGGCTGTCTGCACCATTGATGTCAGTATCCCCAGACAACCCCCAATAGCCATCAGCCTCAGTTTCTGCCAGCTTTTCTGTTTGTTGCATTCCCAGGCTGAGTTCCTTGGTTCTCAGAAATGGCATGCTGTCTTGAATCTAAGAGAGACCCCTTAAGCAGCAGACACTCCCTACCCACAGCCACACTGCCTACCCACAGATCTGCTTCCAGGAGGCAGCTCTGCAGGTGCCAAGTGTGCCTCAGGTAGCCTCGAGCCACTGAGCTCATTCTAGACCCTGCATATGCTGAGTCTAGGGTGGTTCCCGCTGGCTCCTGTGTTTGCTTCACCCAGAAACCTTTGCTGAGCACCAGTTACCACCACCAAATTAAATGCAGGTTGTTAACACCTAGCTCCCCTGAGAGCCTAAGTTAAGACCTACCTGCTGCTCTGGGGCATGCCATCCTGGGGACTGCATGTGGCTCTGCCCAGACCTGGGGTGTCAGCTTTGCTGGCAGCAGCTTGTTCACAGATCTGGGGGACACAACTCCATGTTGTCACTGACTAATGTGGAACCATTAACTGGGAAGTAGTTACCACTTTCCAAACACAGCTGTTTGGTAACACACACTTCCCGCTGTGTATATTTGACAGCAGCACATTTCTTCATAAAATCCTGCTGTGGGCTTGGCAGTGCCTTTTTCTTGTTGCCATCTCACAGCTCACTGGTGGACTGGAGTGTCCAATGTCTGCCTCTTCAAAGGGGCCCACAAGCAGAGCCTGTCTGGAGTTATGTGGTTGACTCCTGAACCCTTGGGTCTTTCACAGGCATCTCCAGGTGAGGCTCTGCCTGCCCAGGCCTTGCAAAGAAACCGCCTTCAGGGCACAGTGTGCCACTTGCTTAGCTGCTGACAGCAGGGCTTTTGGGGGAGGAGGAGAGAATGTGGGCTCTGAAGCTGGCCTAACCTAGGTTCAGATCCTGGCTCTGCATGGGAACTCTTGGAGGTCCAGGGCTCTTCTTTCCTCGATGAGAATGATAGTGATATGAAAGCAGAATTATTGTGGTAATGAGGTGAGGGCTGCAGTGCTGGGGCAATATCCAACACACCCTGCCCTGCCCTCAGCCAACAGTCCTTCTCACCCCTCTAGTGAGGCCCATTTCTTCAGTGTCAGCATCTCCCATGACTCCTTGCTCCTCTGCCAGGCCCTCTGAGGGCTCCCTGCCTAGAGGATAGTGGCCAAGGGCTAGGTCTGTCCTGAGGGACCTTTGTTGCCTGCCTGAGGATGCCCTCCCATCCAAGGTTGGCACTGCTGTACACAGGCTGCCCCTGGACCCCCCAAGGCAGTCCACCTGTTGCCCTGCACACTGTGCACACCTTAGATGGGCATGATCATTTATACTGATAGCTGTAAGGGCCCTAATTCTAGCTACTGTATCACTTAGTCTCTGGATCACAATCTTCACCAAGATTTTGTGGCCTGAGTCTACACCCATAGAAACCTAGCTCTTTGAGCCCAGAGAGGCACCCCAGGAGAGACAGCACATGGCATCAGACACCTCTTGTCATGAAGGTTCTGGCCTTTACTGATGGGTGTCCAGGAAGAAGGCCAATGCATAGACACCCCTACCCTGCTCTCCCAGTTGCTTCCTTCTCAACTGGGAGCTGAGCCCCTTCACCTCCTGCTACTTCTGCTGCAAGGGGTTCAGGGCAGAGGGGGTTAGTTACAAGATGTTCCCTGGAGCCAGCAATCTTGAACAAAAAGAAATCAATTTCAAAACTTACTACAAATCTATAACATGCTCATCAAAACAGTGTGGAATATTAGCCTTAAAAAGGGAGGAAATTCGGTCACATCAGACAGCATGGGAAACCTAGAGGACATAATGCCAAGTGAAATAGCCAGTCACAAGACAAATACTGAATGATTCCACTTAGATGAGGTATGAGGAGTAGCAGCCTGGTTGTGCTAGCCCAGTCAGACCCCATTTATTTGGCCCTGTACCGATATGGGATGAGCCCAGGCCCAGGGTTTGGTTATAGACAGACTCCTGCCAGGGGGACCCCATGGTGCTGTGTGCTCAGCTGAAGGATCACCAGGGAATCTGCTGACTTTTGACTTCTGGATCAGCTGGTGCTCTGGTGTGAACCTGGGTAAAGGACAGGTCAGCTGGCTGTGAACCCCCACCCCTTGCCCACCTATTGTGAGTACAGTATCCCCACCTGCCTGTGCTGCTGGCTCATGTGGGGGACCCGTAGAAGTCAGGACTATTGTGCAGGTTAAATGAGAGGGCCTTTGAAGTGGGCCCTGCGCCATCAGACTGGAGTAGGTGTGAGGGCCTGCTGTTGAGACCCTGCTTTTTGCTCGCAGACAAGTGTTCGGAGGGAGCCAGTGAGCTTTGAGTTCACACTGACTGAGCCAGGACCACACAGATAGTAGAACCAGGCACCAGGAGGGCATGCTGGCCACAAAGCAGGGTGTTCACCTGCCTTTAACCTTTGCTCCCTTTCTGTGGATGTAAAAGTGGCCCCTTCCACAAAATGGCGGTGTGCCCTGCCTCCTCACATGGATGTCCTGGGCTGCTGCAGATCCCAACCAACCAGATTTTTGTCAAGCTTTAGTTTGTATAGTTTGCAAAAGGAGAACTTGATATTTTTCTCAACTTAGGAATCTTGATTTTGCATTTCAAAGTCTGTCTGCCTCATGGTTTGAAGATGCTGCTGGGCCCTTAGGGGCCAGAGGAGGTGGGACAGGTTGCCCCCATAATGGCCTGGTCTTCTCTCCTGCAAAGAAATGCAGATTTCAGCAGTTTGAATAGGTTTGAGCACTCTGCCAGCAGGTTTTATTACCAATAATATTGTTTAAACTTGGAAAAGAGAATGAAACTACCCACAACTGTCCCACAAGCCGTGACATGGCAGAAGTGTTTGTGTTTCGTGTGCTCCCTCCAGCATGTTTTCTGTGCATCTCTGCAGGTTTGCTCATTCAGCAGCTCTCTACTGAGTGGTTGTCACGCAGGAGGTTCCTGTTTGAGGTGCTGGGGATACAGCATTGTGTGCTCACTGGGAGAACAGAGTGGGCAGCTAGTGATGAGTAGGAAGAAAAATAAAGCTTGTTAAGGGGTTAGAGGCGGGATTGTGACTATTTAGACAGGGAGATTGGGAAGACCTGTCTAAGCAAGGATCTGAATCAAGTGAGGGAGCCCTGATGGCCATGAGGATATTGGGGGAGAGGCTTCCAGATGGACACACACCGAACACACATGCCTAGAGACAGAAACAGTCTTGGTGTGACTAGAATCTGCTGGAAGCTGGTGTGACTAAATGGGCAAGGAGGAGAGAGGAAGGAGATGCGGTCAGAGGCTTTCAGGGCCTGGTTTGGCAGGGGAAGAGTTGAGGGAACATCATCCTGAATTAGGTTAAAGCTGTCGCAAAGGCTGGGCATGGTGGCTCACACCTGTAATCCCAGCTCTTTGGGAGGCCAAGGCAGGTAAATCACTTGAGGTCATGAGTTTGAGACTAGCCTGGCCAACATGGCAAAACCCCATCTCTACTAAAAATGCAAAACCTGCTGTGGTGTTGTGTGCCTGAAATACCAGCTACTCAAGAGGCTGAGGAAGGAGAATCACTTGAACCTGGGAGGCAGAGGTTGCAGTGAGCCGAGGTCACACCACTGCACTCCAGCCTGGGTAACACAGCACGGCAAAACTGTCTCAAAAAAAAAAAAAAAAAAAAATCTGTCGCAAGGTTGCGGAAGAAGAGAGGCTCCATGTGACCTGAGTGTGTCAGAGACACTACTAGGCTGATATATAAAGAGTGAGTTGGGGGTGGCCCATCAGAGGCCTGGCAGGACACAGATGGCCCCATCTAACAGGAAAGTCTGAAGAGCGCTTAATGAAGGAGCAACTTACACAGGCCCAGGCAGAGAGTAGGAATTCACAGGGGAGGAGGAGTGTGGTACCCTGGGCCAACCGCAGTGCCTATCGGGGCTGGCCATTGATGGCTGCCCCACATCAACTCCACAGGGAGGGAATGCAAGGAGTGAGTGCTCTGATCAAATTCCCTCAGTTAAACCCACCCAGTAGTCAGAGACCCAGGAGCTTGAGAATGTGTCCACACAGGTAAAGAAAAAGTGAGTGTGGCAGCAGAGATGGGAGGAGACCACAGCAGGATATCAGGAAGTAGTCTGATTCTAGATGGATTCAGACAGAAGAGCTGAATCAATGGATGAGACAGCATGGGAAACCTAGAGGACATAATGCTAACTGAAATAGCCAGTCAGAAAAGACAAATACTGAATGATTCCATTTAGATGAGGTATGACGAGTAGCAGCCTGGCAGCGCTAACCCAATCAGACCCCATTTCTTTGGCCCAGGACCTGTGGGATGTGACGGAAAGAGAAAAGTCAAGGTCAGTCCACAGACAGTCATGCATCCTGCTTCTGTTCTGACTAATGTTGTGAATCAGTTGAGAAGGTTTGCACATCTATCACCTTCAACAACTGTATTTAACTTTTCATATATATATATGAGTAACGTAGAACAGTTATATATATATATGAGTATATATGAGTAATGTAGAACAGAGTTCCCTCCTGAGGCACTACTGACATTTGGGACCAAATAATTCTCTGTTGTGGGGATGTCATGTGCACTGGAGGACTTTCAGCAATATCCCTGGTCTCTTACCCACTAGATACCAGTAGCCTTCCTCTAGCTGTGATGACCAAAGATGTTTCCAGACATTGCCAGATGCCCCCTTGGGGACAGACCCCCACCCCCATTGAGAACTATTGCCATGAGTCTCCCTCCCCAGGCAACTCTCAGGACTGTTGGGTACATTTCCTTTCCATCTTTCTTCTGCCTACTTTCTTTACACACAGACAGACAGACACACACACACACACACACACACACACACACACAGAAACGTATGCAAATATGGTTCTGCTTTTTCGTGCTCCCCATGTACTCATAAACTCTTTGATTGCATGACTTCTAATGACCACACAGCATTCTCAGGGCCGGGGGGAGGGGGCACAGCTTTTACACTAAATCCTTAATATTTGGCTTTATCCAAACAAAGACATTCTAATTATAATTTTTCATGATTAGAAGTATCAGGAGTGGTTGGCTTTAAGTCTACCAGGTCTAGCTTTGGGGATATTCATGTCCTAGGTTGCTGGGGTGAGTTTGCAGTAAGTATGTGTCTGCAGCTTATGGATGTCCCCAGCAGCCCACTAGAGTCTCCCATCAGCAGGTAGCCACACACTCCTCTTTCTCTGGCCTATAGAACACTGTACTCCAACAGCTCCCAGCCAGTCCCCTTTGCATGGGGCAAGAGGTCCTGCGTGGCTCCAAAGGCTGCAGAAGGCCTTCCCTGGCCAAGCCCTCCACCACTCCTGATTCCTCCATTTGTCATGGAACCTGTGAGTACCATCTGTGCCCCCATGCCAATGCCTGAGGTATGGCTAGGTGAAGGGCTGAGCACAGCTGAGGTCCATAGCCACCTTCCTAGCAGCCCTGTGGAGCCCTGCTGGTCTTGCAGATAGGCTGGCACTGCTCCAGGATCCCCACCAGATAGTTTGCACACCTGGAGTCACCATGTAGGAGTTGTAGAGCCTGACGTCTCTGACCCCCGCCATCTGTCCCTTGTGAGTTTGTGAGGCAAGAGTTAGTTAAGTGGCGAGTGGATCATCATCATTGCCACAAGACAGCCCCTGGGGGCAGAGACACTGGGTGACACAGGCAGAGCACATCCTCCAGGCCACCATACAATAGTGACAGATAGCACCTGGGATCAGGTCTGCCTTCCAACTTTGCACATCTTGGGACAGCAGGTGTCCCCAGAGGGTAGTAGGCGTGTTCCCATCTCCAGCTGTCAACAGGTTTTGCCAAGCCCCCACTACATGCAGGGCCCACGGAAGGCTACAGGTAGGTATGCAAGCCACCTCACCCCAAGCTTTTACTTCCTGTGCGAAGGGAAAGTGAGCCTGGGGAGTTCCAGGAGCTGTGACAGTCAGCCCAATGTTTGCTGTAGTGAAACGATTGCTGGCAGAGTAGTGCAAGTTAGTGGGCAGAGGCTGGCATTGAGGTTTAGCCTCAAGGGCTTGGACTGTTGCTTAGCTGGCCCCAGGGAGCATAGTGCTGGCACCCTGGCCTTGGGCAGGACCCAAGCAGCCCCTCTCATGCCCCATGGCTGTTGCCCTCCTCCCTCAACCTGACATATACTTCCTTCCCATTTTATGAAAGGTCAGACTGCTCAGCTTCCTTTCATTCTTCCTATGGGCATCTGTTGCACCCTTTCTGTGAGCTTCAAACTAGACTTGTCCTGGAGGAGCCATCAGTAAAGTCAGACTGTATCCCTGCCCTCATAGGGCTGATAGAGAAGTGGGGGCAGACAGCAGACCCATCTGCGAGTCAGTGGAAAGGCTATTTAAGGTGGCCATGGGGCTGTGGGTATAGTATTCCAGGGGAGCATCAGGGGAAAGGTGAGATGGCACCAGGTAGAGAGACCTGCAGGGACCAAGGTGGGAACAAGTGTGGCCAGAGGGCCGTTCACAAAGAGGGGTTGGGGGATGTGGGGGAGATGAGCCAGCGGGTAGGCAGGTAGACTGAGGCATGGAGCTGATTCTTGCCCTGAGGCAGGTGCAGCCCAAAGGCCTTCAAGCAGAGGAGTTAGACGTCCTCTCTGCCTTCTGCTGTGAAGCAGGGATGGTCCAGATAGTGGGCAAGGGAGGGCATAAGGTGCCTGTATGCATTTGCGATTCTTTGCCCTACTTCTCTTCAGGACCTTACAGCCCTCCATCTGCCCTCTGTCAGAGCAGGGTCTATATGCATAAGCCTCAGGGCCCATGCAGCCAAGGAAAATGTGCCATTATCTGGTAAGTGGCTCCATGGGCCTCCTCCCGTTCTCAGAGGTGCCTATGAGCCAGCAGTGTGACAGGTTGCATGAGGCCATGATGGCTGGCTCAGTGTTCAGCACACAGCACATGCCCAGGCAGATTTGTAAAGTGACTTGCACACCCATAGTAGATAGGTCGGGGGTCAGGGGAAGAGCCCAGGCCTCAGACTCCTTACAGCCTGGACCAGATGCCAGGGATGGCTCTGCCACTTCCTGGCTCTGGGACCTTGGGCAAGCTCTTAAATTTCTCTGAGCCTCTATTTCCTCATTGGTAAACTGGCAATTCTGTGAGGTGAGGGGTTATGGCACTGTGCTCAGCCCAGGAGGCATCATGTTGCCTTACGTCACCACACCACACCACAAAGCTGCAGGGCAGGCTTTATGCTGCAGGTGCACCGTGCAAGTCAGATCCCCTTCCCCCTTGCAGAGGTTCAGCAAGGGCCCAACACAGTCTCTGCCCCCTCCTCCACCCCCCCAGCCTGGCACCCATGATTCCCCAGACAGGTCTCAGCCCTCCCTGTCAGCACCTATCTGGGGCCTCAGGCATGAATCAGCTAAGGGCCCCCATAACACTTTGTGCCTTAGCATCGATCAGCTCTCTTTCTCTGGTGGGCCCGGGAGACAGCTGGAGAAACACACTCTCCACCAGTACACAGTAGCCAGGTCTGCGGGAAGCTAATTTATAATCCAGGTTGGGTTTGACAGGCTAGTGCTTTCTGCACCCTTTGCCCCAGAAACCTCTCCCACTGCCTTCTCCCTTTCTGCTCCTATCTGGGGGACAGACCGGCTTGGTGCAGGTGGAGTGGTGGAAAACAAACCAGAGAGGAATGTCCATTCCTGTCCCATGGCCACAGGTCCTGCAACAAGGCAGCTGGGCAGGGAAGCAAAGTCTATGTGACTCTCTCCATCCTGGCCTCAGTGCTTTCTCTTGTGTCCCCAGCCAGAAGGAAGTCTTTGTTGAGGCTTTACTTTCTTGGTATTCTTAGGAAAATGATGGCTACTGGAGATGCTTCTTCAAGCCAGGTTCTCAAATCTCTTCCCGCTGGCCTCAAGTGCTGCTACTTAAAGAGGTCTTCTGGACATTTTTCCAAGTTCATGAGGAGCCCCAGAAGCAGCTTTGGGGTCATGACCCTTGGGTAACTTTTCTTAGGCCAGGCCTGTGCCCTGGGTCATGGAGCTGGAGGAGTGGTTTGCCATAGCATTGAGGCCAGGGCCATAGAGGAGAGGAAGGGTATGCACAGGCTCAGTCCCCTAGGTGGCCTGTCTCTGCTCTGGGCTCCGCAGCCCCTGGTCTTAGTACTTACTCCCTGCCTCATAGTCCCCTGGCTCCCCACTGGCCTTATGGGCAGCCACATCTGATCCCCTTCACCTCCTTGGCTAGGCCCTGACTGTCCCCGGTGTCTGGGCACTTGCTTCAGTGAGTCCCTTATCCCCATAACAGCCTTGTGCAAACCACAGCCCAGGTATCACCTTCTCCCAGAGCCTCCCTGACCTTCTCAGACTGGGTGAAAGGTAGGTCTCCTTTGCAGCCTACCTCCATGGTCAGGTGTGCTCAACAGTGGTATTAGAAGTGTAGGTGACGGACCAGGCATGGTGGCTCGTGTCTGTAATTCCAACACTTTGGGAGGCCAAGACGGGCAGATCACTTGACGTCAGGAGTTCGAGACCAGCCTGGGCAACATGGTGAAACCCCATCTCTACTAAAAATACAAAAATTAGCCAGGCATAGTGGCAGGCACCTGTAGTCCCAGCTACTCAGGAGGTTGAAGCAGGAGAGTCACTTGAATGACTTGGAGGTTTCAGTGAGCTGAGAGCATACCACTACACTCCACCCTGGGTTACTGAGTGAGATTCTGTCTCAAAAAAAAAAAAGTACAGTGTCCCACATCACCTTCTTGAGTCCACCTATGACTGATTAGACCAGGATGGACACCTGCCTGGGCTGAACCTCTCAGATCTCCTTTGGGAAAGACTTTGAACCAAGTGTGTCACAGTGGGTCATGGCTGAGCGCTGATGCAGGTTGTGAGCCCCTTTCTTGGGCTTCCTGAGACCCACCTGCGTCTTCCTCTTGGAGCCCTGCTCTACTTACTAGTCTTTGAGCTAATCTTTCATTTTATTCCTTTTAATGAAGCATACCTGAACCCCCACCCCTTCTCCCTACCCTGTACTCAGTTTGTCTGCAGCTGACCCTCCCTCCTTGGACCTGCTGTAGAGCAGGGGGATGTGGCCTGGGATAGGGTGTGGTGGGGTGCAGAGGTGGGAGGCATTATGTGAGAACTTGGAACCAGCCTCAAGAGGCTTTTGAATGAGTGGCCCGGGAAGCGGGCTTTTCAAAGCATGGCTGCCAGGCATTAATGGGGACTTTTTTTTTTTTTTTTTTTTGAGGTGAAGTCTCACTTCTGTCACCAGGCTGGAGTGCAGTGGCGTAATCTCGGCTCACTGCAACCTCCGCCTCCCAAGTTCAAGTGATTCTCCTGCCTCACCCTCTTGAGTAGCTGGGATTACAGGCGTGTGCTACCACACCAGGCTAATTCTTTTATTTTTAGTAGAGATGGGGTTTCTCCGTGTTGGTCAGGCTGGTCTCGAACTCCCAACCTCAGGTGATCCACTCGCCTCAGCCTCTCAAAGTGCTGGGATTACACGCGTGAGCCACCGCGCCCAGCTGCTGGGGACACTTGAAAGTAAACTACAAGTTGTTCCTCCTAGGTGCTGGAGCTCAGAAGTTGAAGGTCAGGACTGGGTATTTTACTGTTTTCTGTGAGTGTGAGCAAAGTGGCTTCTGCTCTCAACTGGGAGCCTGCCTCCGGGGTCTGAGGACCCTCTTGCTGCCCAGGTTGTTCCCTCCTCTGCCTGTTTCTCCTTCCCCTCAGGGAGGGGCAAGCAGGGGGTCCCTCAGCAGACGGGAAGCTCACAGTGAATGGAGCTTCCTACATACGGCCCTGGGCCCTGCCCAGTGCTAGGGAGCAGCCCTCAGTCCCTACAGCAGCCCAGTGGGGGCAGAAGGGTAGCCCTCTGTGCAGAGACAGGAGCAAAGGCTTGCAGGCAGGCTAGCATGGGCCCCACAGCCAGCCAGTCAGGGAGCTGGATTTGCACTTTTGCCTCATGATGATTGGGGAAACAGTTCAGTATGCTGGGCCTGGCCAGCAGTGGGCAGAATGGGACCAGGTGGGATAAGCTTGTAGATGAAGAAGTGAGAGGGCTTTCGGAGCAGCTGGAGTGCAAGGTGATGAAGGCCTGTGCCCAGTGCTGGGAAAGGCGAGCAAGGGACCTGAGCAGGAGGGGAGGACAGATTGGCCGGGACAGTGGGTACTGTGGAAAGGGTAGAGGGTCTGGCATTGTGCAGTCCCAGGTGCCAAGCCCAGCTCTGCCCATTGCCAGCCCTTTCCCTGTAGGACAGCATGGTCCTGAGGTGGAGTGAGATGGCCAGTGCAAGGTGCTTGGCTGCTGTGGTGAAGACCAGAGAGGGAGGAGTGGCTGGCTAGGCAGCTGGTGGGAAGGCTTGCTCTATGGGCCAGTGAGAAGACCCCAGAGAAGGCTGAGGCAGCCAGGTCTGGGCCCACCCTCTTACCCTACAGCATTCTCCCCTGGGCCTGGATTCCACGAAGAGGCTCTTTGCCCAGAGATCACTGACCTAAGCACTGTGGCCAGAGCCTGGCCCTCCTAGCCTAAGGCAGCTGTACCACCGGTCATGAATAAGGAATGCTTTTCCTGACAAATAAGTCAAAGCTGCTATTTGGACTTGTGGAGGGCCCCTGACAGAGGTGGGTACTGGGTCCATGTGGCAGGTTTATAGGGTTGGTCAGGCCAGGGGTCTCTGTCAGTCCCCATCTTGGGCAGTCAAGGACTACACTCCCAAACCAGTGGTGCTGGGCAAGAGATCAGTTCTGAAAATGCATCCCACAGCCTGAAGATCAAAGCCCACGGCCAGAACCGCCTAGAGCTGTGGAATCAATGTATGCAGGAACTGCTGCTCATCGTGGTTTGCTGTGCAGCCAGGAAGGAGGGGACCGCCTGCCTTCCCTGTGGGCGCCCTGAGCAGCCCACACACTCACTTCCAACCTACTTCTTGTTTCCCCAGAACCTCCAGTGGGCCCGCGACGTGTTGCTAGGCAGCAGTATCCCGTGGCAACAACTGCAGCACATGCCGGCACAGGGGCTCTTCTGCGAGAGGAACAAGACCAATTTCTTCAACGTGAGTACTTTGCCTTGTTGATTTCCAAGACGGTTTGTTGCCATTGCTTTTCACTGAAGGCGCATGAATTGACCCCCTAGGTGGGTGTTCCCAGGGCCTCAGGTTTGTGGCATCCTCAGAGGGCAGGCAGGGTGGTGCAGTAGAGAGTGAGCCAGACTCCGGTGTAGGGCTATGATTGCTGAGCGACTTCTAGCAAGTCACTGCCACCTCCTGTGGGGAGAGGCATGGATGAACTTGGTATGTTCTCCAAAGCCCCAGGTATTCTGGGGCCACACAGGCAGTGATGAGAGGGGTCAGGCCCAGGTTCCTCCTCCTGCTGGAGCAGCTCCTCCTATGGTCTCAAGCACGCAGGAGATTCTGACTGCCTAAAAAACAAGCGCGGGCCGGGCGCGGTGGCTCACGCCTGTAGTCCCAGCACTTTGGGAGGCTGAGGCAGGTGAATCACAAGGTCAGGAGTTTGAGACCAGCCTGGCCAGCATAGCGAAACCCCATCTCTACTAAATATACATAAATTAGCTGGGCGTGGTGGCGGGCACCTGTAATCCCAGCTACTTGGGAAGCCGAGGCAGGAGAATTGCTTGAGCCCAGGAGGCAGAGGTTGCGGTGAGCCCAGATCATGCCATTGCACTCCAGCCTGGGGGACCAGAGCAAGACTCTGTCTCAAACAAACAAACAAAAAACAAGTGGGGCCTGGGTGCAGTGGCTCATACCTGTAATCCCAGCACTTTGGGAGGCCGAGGCAGGCAGATCACCTGAGGTCAGGAGTTTGAGGCCAGCCTGGCCAACATGGTGAAACCCTGTCTCTACTAAAATACAAAAATTAGCTGGGCGTGGTGGCAGGCACCTGTAATCCCAGCTACTCAGGAGGCTGAGGCAGAAGAATTGCTTGAACCCGGGAGGCGGAGGTTGCAGTGAGCCGAGATGGCGCCATTGCACTCCAGCCTGGGCGACAGAGCCAGACTCCCTCTCAAAAAAAAAAGTGTGACCAATATTGGGCTTTCAGTGCACTTAAGCCCTGATATTCCGTGTGAGGTAGAGACTTACTCCTTGAGCAGGGCAGGGCCAATCACCTAAGCCTGCCTGCCTCTCGTCCCAAAGACCTACATTTGCTCCTCTTGACACCCCACCTGGATCTACCCTCCCCCATTTCCTCTGCCCTGCATGGAGACAGCTGGCCCCTCATTCCCCTCTACCTCCAAGCCCTTACCTATCCACCGCCCCTCCCAGCATGGCCAGCTCCCAGCTGAGTGACTTTGGCAGGTCATTCATCCCCTCTGAGCTTTGGTTTCTTCTATATTTTCCTTGATTCCCTGTTACTCATGGAGAAACTGAAGGGCAGAGTTGGCCTGAACAGGAGCTGAGGAGAGCAGGTTTCAGATCTGGGGGTGTGTAACAGGCCAATTCTCAGGGTACGTGGGCAGGCAGGTCCCCACTGAGAGCCAGCCAGCTGGTGGGAGTGTCTGGGCCCATGGCTCTTCTCCCAGGATGTGGTCTTCTGGGGTCAGAGTAGCAGCTTCAGATCCTGAAAGCCCTGCATCTGCCCACCCTCTCTGTTTTGGTATTTTAGAGACAAGTAGGAGGTGTTATTGGTAATCAATCTAGATGATACCAAGGGATTTGCCGCAAAAGAGAGGTGCCCTCTCACCTGCATGCCCAGGCAACAGCTACTTCCCCACAACAGAAACCGTTTGTTGTCCCATGTGTGTGCTCTTCTAGAGGGCATCTGCCCATTTACATAGATGTGCACAAAAGGCAAAAGTGCACACACTTTTCTTCCCCTTGTATTTTCTCACTAAACAATATTCTTTTTGATAGCCACTCATTCTTTTTGATAGCTACTGCATAGTATTCCCAACATCGGGATGTCCCACAGTTTACCTACCCATCCCTTTTTTTTTTTTTTTTTTTTTGGAGATAAGGGTCTTGCTCTGTCACCCAGGCTTGAGTGCAGTGGCGTAATCTTGGGTCACTGCAACCTCCGCGTCCTGGGTTCAAGCAATTCTCCTGCTTTAGCCTCACAAGTAACTGGGACTACAGGTCAGCACCACCACGCCCAGCTAATTTTTGTATTTTTTTTTAGTAGAGACAGGGTTTCACCATGTTGACCAGGCTGATCTTGAACTCCTGGCCTCAAGTGATCTGCCCTCCTCGGCCTCCCAAAGTGCTGGGATTACAGGTGTGAGCCACTGTGCCCGGCCCCCCATTCCTTATTGAGGGACACTTAGATTAGTTCCAGTCTTTTTTACTACAAACAATACATCACACACACACATACACACACACACAGAGAAAGGCTCAGTGCTTCATTTATGAAGCACTTCCTTGACTGTGACATTACGCTAATTTTAACTTCTATCCAAAAGTTGGTGTCCTTCATGTTCATTTTCTAGTGGATTATTGGTTCTTTTCCTATTGATTAATAAGAACTCTTTATATATCAATGAAATAAGCCCTTTGTCAGTGTTTTGAAAATCTGTTTTTCTGCAGCTGATAGACTAGAGTTAGAGCTAGACAAGTTGCTTAATTTCCCTGTCCTGGGTTCCTCACCTTGAAAGTGGGCTTCTATTACCTGCCTTGAAGAGTAACTGTAGGAATCAAGTTAGATAATGGGGTAATATTTCTGACACAGGATCTGGCACATGGTAGGTACTTAAGAAAATAGTTTCCCTCCCTTGCTCTCTTCCTCTCTCCTTTTGGTGCTTTGCCCTTAAAGCCTATGCAGTGATATTGGAAGGAAGGACCCAACCTCCATGTCTTCCTCTTAGGGTAAGACCTCAGCCTTTCTAATGATAAAGCTAGGGAAGCTGGCCTGCCAGATACCTGCTCCCCAGAGCACATCCAAGTTGGCAGCCACATGCTACAGGCACCTTTCCCATTGGGCTCACTCCCTGCACCTTCTCCTTAGTTTCTGGGACCTTCCAAAATGAGTCTTGCAGAAAAGCAGTCTGAGGCTGTGTGCCTGTGGCAGGGCCCCATGTAGGCCTGGCACATAGGCAATGCCGTCCCTGCAGCTGGAAGCCCCTGAAGATCAGGGCCACCCCAGTCCAGACTGGGTGTTTTGGTGGTTTTGCCTCTTCCAGGAGAGTTGTTCGTTCCTCCATGCTTCCCAGTGACCTGCTGCTTTTACCACCCTTTGGGGCCTCTGTCCTCCTCTGCTTTCTTACCTCTTCTCTTTAGAGATAGGTTTGGGCTACTTGTGCTCCTTGAGCTATGCCTAGTGTCCAGCATGTCAAGAAATGCTGGGCAGTTCCTGAACGCTTTCAGCACATGAGTCTATCTGGCATATTCCCAAGCCTGGGGAAACTGCATACTAACGTGTTTATGAAGGAGCATTTAGGGCAGCCTTGGCTGACTCTGCTGGAGTGGGGCTGTGTCTCTGGTAGATGGCCTATAGGTTGGGATGAGCAGACTGGCTCACCTCCCTTCTAGCCTGCACTGGAGTTTACTGTTTAGTCCAGGGGGAGGCAAAGGCGGCAGGTGGGTGCTGGCCCTTGAGAGGCAGTAGAGGGAGGTTGAGGCTGGGGACATCAGCACCCTAATCCCTATCCCTCTCAACCCACTGTCCTGGGCCATCCACACTACCCAGGCTTTGTGTTGCTCAGCCTGTCATCCTTAGAGCTTGGGTGGGGGGCACTTCTGTTATTTTTTAATGATAGGTTTTGAAAATTGTGAGAATTGTAGTTTAGGAAAAACTCAAACCCCTTTTCCTTTGTTCTCACACCAACACAACAGTCAACACAGACAGAAGACTTCTGTGACCAAGTCGGGGGCGGATTTTTTCCCACCAACAAATAAGCAATCAATTCTGTAGCAGACACCAGCTGGGTGTCCTCTAATTGAATTAAATTCCAACATTATCTTTTTTTTTTTTTGAGACAGCACTGTGCTCTGTCACCTAGGCCCTTGGGGGCCCTACCTCAGCCTGCCAGATAGCTGGGACTATAGACATGCACCACCATGCCCAGCCAATTTTTTAATTTTTTGTAGAGATAGAATCTTGCTATATTGCCCAGGCTCAATTTCAACACCTGGAGATAGTGTCAGATCCCACAGGTTGAGGGCTCAGTCCTCAGAACATCCCCCGCTTCAGACACTAGTCACAAGTCTGGGCCTCCGAAATGTCTAACTAACTGGCTTCAAGTTGATGTTCCTACAACCCCCTCTTTGGGTTTGATTAATTTGCTGAAGTGGCTTACAGAACTCAGAGAAACACATTTCCCAGTTTATTATAAGGGATGTTACAGGAGGATATGGGGAAGGCTGTATCCTCCTGTAATTGTTTCTCTCCAGGCATGCCACCCACCAGGAGCTTTCGTGTATTTAGTTATCTGGAAGCTCTGTCCTCTTTGGCCTTTTGTCATGATTGAAACATGGACAACTATATCAAAATGTTATTGGACAAAAAGATTATTATCTAAACCCAGCGAGACCTGTCCAGATTCTTCTTGCCCTCTCTGCAGCATTTCTTCCTCCAGGATGTGGGGTAGGACTCTTATCTGGAATGAAGGTCTTAAGACCCACAATCAAATTAGAGTCCTGTCTTGGGCAAGCAGAAAGAAGGGCAGGAGAAGGTCAGAGAAAGAGAGATTCTGTTTACAGTAACGGACTATGAGAATTAGGAGCCAGGAACCATGTATGAACAAACATATATATATCTGTCATATAGATCATAATATCAGTCATATAGGACCACATTTTCACTGCTAACAGTTCAGACACATAGAGTCCACCTACCTTTGTTTGCCCATCCCCAGGCACTGTGCCCTTTTCAGAGGTGCTTCTGTGATCAGCCAAGCCGTTATCTTTTTCTGGGTCTGTGTGTACAAAAACAGATTTGTCGTGCGGCTTTTTAAAAAGTGCATATAATCCCAGCACTTTGGGAGGCCGAGACGAGCGGATCACGAGGTCGGGAGATCGAGACCATCCTGGCTAACACGGTGAAACCCTGTCTCTACTTAAAAAATACAAAAAACTAGCCGGGCGAGGTGGCGGGCACCTGTAGTCCCAGCTACTCGGGAGGCTGAGGCAGGAGAATGGCGTAAACCCGGGAGGCGGAGCTTGCAGTGAGCTGAGATCCGGCCACTGCACTCCAGCCTGGGTGACAGAGCGAGACTCTGTCTCAAAAAAAAAAAAAAAAAAAAAAGTGCGTGTGTGGCTGGGCGCAGTGGCTCACGCCTGTAATCCCAGCACTTTGGGAGGCAGAGGTGGGTGGATCACCTGAGGTCAGGAGTTCGAGATCAGCCTGGCGAAACCCTGCCTCTACTAAAAATACAAAAATTAGCCGGGCATGGTGGCGCATGCCTGTAGTCCCAGCTAGTCAGGAGGCTGAGGCAGGAGAATCACTTCAGCCTGGGAGATAGAGGTTATGGTTAGCTGAGATTGCACCACTGCAGTCCAGCCTGGGTGACAGAGCAAGACTCTGTCTAAAAAAAAAAAAATGTGTGCATGTGTGCTTTTTAGCAACTTGGCTTTTTCCATGACACCAAGTCTTGGAGAAGTTTCCATGTGAGAAGGTCAGGTCGTTTTGCTCTCTACAACTGCTGCCCTGTCTCCTTGGGTGGACACATGTATGGGCCTAGTGTTTGCTCTCACAGTCTCCTGGTTTGTGCATCTTTGTGCTGTTGCTGTATTCCTCTCTAAGTCCCCTGGCCTGGCCCAGAGGAGGTGCCCACACGAATATTTGTGGATTAATTTCATTCATCCCTTTCCCCTCAGCAGTTGGTCTCCAAGCTCATTCTCCTGGATCAGCCAGTGCTGGATGTTGTAGGAGACAGGGAGAGCCTTGGCCCTGGCCACATGATGCTCAAAGCTGATGGTAGAGCACTGCCTGCTTGTCTTCAGGCGGGGCCTTCATAAGATGCCGCAGGGCATGTGGGAGGGACAGGGAGCTGGGCTCTCCCATGCGGGGTGGGGTGCTGCTCAGCCAGAAAGGGGACAGGAGAGGAAGGCTAGGATTAGAGGCACCCTCGGGGGAACTCCTTAGGCTGGGCTGCTGACAGAACCTTCCTGGGGAGTTTAAGGGGCCAGAGAAAGGGATGGTTGCTAAGGATCAAGTGAGTGGGATCTTGGGTTCCTATGTCAGCTTTGCTGACAGGAACTCCTTGCACATGGGGCCCACCCCATGGCTGGCTGGCCGGCCCCCACAGCAGCACAGATGGACATGTAGCAGGGTTCAGCACTGTGGTTGAACATGAGGAGGAGTGAACATGGTATGTCTTGGGTCCCACTGTTCCACACACTATCCTTCCCTGGGCAGAGGGGACCAGGAAAGCAGGCACCAAGCTAGGTGGTAGGTGCTGCTAGGGTGGCTACCCACACCATGGAGGCTGAGGGTTTGTGTCTGGGTGCCCAGAAGCTTCTGGGGCTTCCCCCGCAGGCATGCACACCTCTGGTCAGGCAAGCCTGCGTGGCCAGAGCCAGGCTGCTTTGTCCAGGGTGAACTTCTCTCCCTATCTTGTAGTTGATTCAGAAACGTTCCCATAGTAACCAAGCCAGAGACGGTTCTCCTTCCTTCCCCAAAAATGTTTGCTTATTTTAGCAGGCAGGGTTTTTTTCTTGTTTCAACCCAGTTTCCAGCCTCTGAAAGAAGCAAAGGGAGCTCAGGGCCAGGCTGGCACTACCTCCTACTTCTGAGGCTGTGTGGGGCAGGCAGCAGTGGTGGCCTGAGTGTGAGTGGAAGGGAGGTGCCGGCCTACTGTGGCCGCCCTGAGTGTGGTGTCTCCCCTACAGCTGCTCCTGCCACTGCTCAGGTGGGCAGCCGCCCAGGCCTCAAGATCACTGAGAGGAGCATGGATTTTGGGCACAGGCAGGCACAGCTCCCGGCCACTCCACCCCTTACTCAGACTGGGTTGCCCGTAGGCAGAGTGGTCCTGACAGGTGGATGAGAGCTATCATCACACACTTGGCATGCCACACAACTCACCCTTAGGTCTGGAGATGGGCCTGCATGGAGGCCTTGGGGCTTATCTGTGGATCCTAGTGCTAGGATGTGACTGAAGCAGGGAGCAGGAGGACCTCCAACTCACATTTGGCTGAGGCCTCCATAAACTCGAGGCCCTGCCCTGGCTTGAATGGAGCAGCCTGAGATGTGGATTGTGGCTTTAGCAGTCACACCCACCAGATAGGCCTCTTTCTGTGAGGCTTGGCCAGTTGTTGGTGCCTGTGGATGCTGGTCAGACTTCCTCTTCTTGGTCACTGCTGCATAGCACTCTACTGTCTGGTTGTCCTGGTGGTCTACCTCCCCTCTTCCCAGCAGATAGGTGGCTTTTGGTTTTCCACTAGTAGAAAAAGAATGCTGCTTTCTCTGATCTCCTTTCTCACCTGTGCCAGGGTCTCCAGGACAAATGCCTGGAAGTTAGAGGCTAGGACACAGGTCCCCACAGCCAAGCGCTTCCACACCTTACCAGATGTTTTTTCAGAGCCAGGCCAGATGCCCTCCCACCAGCCATTGCCCCACCCCCTCCCAGGACTCAGAACTGCAGATGACTTTCATTTTGGCCAATCTGTGGGGTGTGCCAGAAAACCCCGGGTGGTTTCAGTGTGTGTCTCCCAGGTGACTGGGGAGGCTGAGCCTCTTCCCACGCCAGTGGCCAGTCCCCTTTGTCTGCCCAGGGTCTGCCGTGTTCTCTCCTACTTGGTGGCCACCACAGGTGGTTCTGTTTGTCCTGACTGTGTTGCTTAAACTGATGGGAGGTACAGTCATCATAAGCTGTCTTTGTTTCTTGAAAACATTTATGCCCTGTGCTGTCCCAGCCCTGGAGCCTGAGTGCTCACTGAAGGCCTTGATGTGGTCTGGTAGGGAGGAAGGGCCCCCCTGCCCCAGCTAGTTGGGCATCAGGAATTGAGTGTTGGTCCCCACCCAATTTCTGGTACCCCACACCTGCCAGAGTTGGGGGTAAGGAGAGAAGGTCTCCAAAGCCCCCAGTACTGTCCTACTCAGCAAGAATCAGTCATGCCCATTGTACTTTAACTTGTCATCAGTTGATTGTGTAACCTTGGAGGAACCCCCTTCCTGCACCCAGTGAGCAGATGTGAGGTATATGTTAGGGGTGGGTACAGTGGACCCACCTTCCAGGCCAGGTCTCAGCCAGTGCCTCTCTCCTCAGAGAGAGCCAGTAGTCCAGAAGTAGGCTGTTGGAGCCCAGCAGACCTGGGCACCCCAAGGCAGGGACCTCATCTGGAACAGCATTGCCATTGCCCTCCCAAAACCTCTCCTAGCTCAGCAGGTAGGGAGTGCCTAGTGACTGAATTCCTCTCATCCTCAAGAACTCCCTAGGGTGAATGATTGGGAATTAGCAGCCCCAGAGCAAGGGGAACAGATATATCTTGACTTAGTCACCCAGGAACCCAGCTGTGTCCAGGCCCCAGGGTCTGTGCCTGAGACATCTGCCTCCTGTTGTAGGGCCAGATCTGGCATCACCTCCCTGACCAGCCCCAGCCTGACTTGCCCCTTCTCTCTCTCCATCCTTCTGACTTGTAAGAGGTACCTTTGCCTGGTGGGCCTGTGGTCAGCCCCTGTCTCCAGACACCAGCCCCAGGTTCAGAGCCTGACACAACCTGGGGAAGAAGTGTTGGTCGCTACTCAATTCCTGGTGCCCCACACCACTCTAGGCTGCCAGCAGATCTGAGTTGCCTCCCAGTGGGTAAACAAGCCCCAGGACTGTCCACACAGGGTGTTCCTGCCTACCCTCTCTCATCAGGGCCGGGGAACATGGGGATAGGAAGAGCTGGTTTGTAATAGCCTCACTCCTTCTCCCAAGTCAGCCCCATATCACCTCCCCTCTCAGGACCAGTTGTGACCAGTTTTCATGCCACCGCTGCTTGTCCCTTTGCGCACACTTCAAGAAGCATAATACCTGCTGTGTGCCAGGCCCTGGGCCAGCTGTGTGGTCAAAAAGGGCTCAGGTCCACAGGCTAGTCTGCAAACCTGGATTAGTAGTCACCTTTCAAAGAGGTGCTAGGAAGTAAAGTAATTTGGCCATGGTCCCATCACCAGTCTGTGCTGGAGGAGGGATGTGTACTTCACTGTGTGTAGTGTGGAAGCCCGTGCGTTGTGGCTGGCAGCCTCAAGTCAGGGGCCCCCTGGTTCCTACACCGGGATTGGCCCAGCTGTCCCAGACAGGAGTGTTAACTGAATGGCCCATTGGCTGGATGAGGAGGATGGAATTAGGTAGCAGTGGGCAGGGGGATGTGGGCATCTAGCCCTACCATAGGAGGTGAGGCTGGGATTCCAGACTGAGGGGGGACCAGTGCTAGGCTGTGGCATCAAGCACAGATTCCCTTGGGTTGCGTGACTACACTGTCTGCTAGCCTGAGCCCCCAGGCCTTTTTGGTGTAACTCCAACTGGCTGGCTAACTGGGTTGTACCACTTTTCCTTGGTAGCCTCCAGGCCTGTCCCGGGATGGGGCTCTTGAGATTGAGAGCAGTGACAATGGAGGCTGGTACCCTGCCTGCAGTGCCACAGCAGCTGGGCCTGGCTGTGCCTTGCCTTGTTGGGGGCCTGGCAGAGAGTAGTGGCCCACAGTAGCAGTGGCAGGACCAGCACTTACTGGTGGCTTGATCGGGGGTGCCTTCTTAGGTGACATAGCATGTCCGTGAGGCTTAGGTACTATTATCATTCTCATTGTACAGTTGGGGAAATTGTTACCAATAGGCTCTGCAGGCTGGGAAAACCAAAAGCCCTTTTCTACCCTCTGCCCCCTGGGCCATCAGAGGCCTGGCTCTTCCCCTTGGACAGCAGTGCTCGTGGCTGTTTTCAGGCCCTGGGCCAGCTGTGTGGTCAAAAAGGGCTCAGGTCAGCGCCACTCCCCAACT